TTATACCAGCCCAATTATTACTAATGATGGGCTTCCTTACCAAGTGGAAAGACTAATAACCCTTTGAAGTGTTATGTAATCCCATTGTAATTCATTAGCATGAATAATAGTTTGTAGTGTCTCTGCCTCCCCCATAGCATTTATAGTTCCTTAAATTATACTTTGTGTGTGTTTGTGTGAGAGGTGTCCCCTATTGTGATCCCTTGAACATGGCAGTTGCTGTTTAACACACAGGAGTGAGACGCCTAGTGAACAGCGTGTATATGTATTGATTTTTGTTGTTGTCCCCTTTATTCTCTTTCTCTGCCTTCTTTTCCTCTGTCTCCTTCTTTCCTTTGTCCCTTTAATCTTTGGGACAGTGAATTTTTAAGTACATGGTAGGTGCTCAGTAAGTACTTTTGAGTGATGTGTTGACAAGAAAGTAAGTACAGGCACACCTTGGAGATGTTGCAGGTTCTTTTCCAGACCACTGCAGTACAGGGAGTCAGGCAAATTGTGTGGTTTCCCAGTTCATAGAAAAGTTACATTTACACTATATTGTAGTATACCAAGTGTGCAATAGCATTTTGTCTAAAAAAAAAAAGTAATAATAACGTGCATACGTTAGCTTAAAAAGTACTTTATTACTAGAAGATGCCAATCATTATCTGAGCCTTTAGCCAGTGGCTTCAAAAAAAAAAAAGATCTGATCACAGATAACATAATAAAATAATAAGAGATAATAGTACAATAATAGTGAAAATATTTGAAATACTGTAAGGATTACCAAAATGTGATGCAAAAACATGAAGTGAGCAAATGCTGTTGGGAAAATGGCATTGATAGACTTGCTCGACTTAGAGTTGCCACAAGCCTTCAATTTGTAAAAATGCAGTATCTACAAAGTGCAATAAAATGAGGTATGCCTGTACTTCTTTATTCAGTCATAATCCTCTATTCCTAAAATGATTTTCCTGGGAAAAAAAATGGCTCCTTAAATAGTCTTGGAAATAGTAATCATTGCAATGAGTAGTCTTTATTACCTTTTATCATGTAGCCTGCTTTTCACCCAGTGCCACTACCTGCCAAGGTGAGGACATAGCTGTGTATTTGTGGACATCCCTCACTTCATCACTGCACAGCTTCTTCTACAAGGTTCCCCCATCTCTGCCTAATCCAAGTCATGTAGTGATTTCCAGAATATAATTTCCATCAGTTTGCCCAGAACTGGGCATCATGCTCCTTTACTATTAAACTGTCAACTCATTTTCTTACCATCTTAGCAGCAGGAAAACAGAGCTCCTTCCAAGAAGGAGCCCTCTACTTTTCTGAGAAGGAGAAGCAAAACATTATATCCTTCCAGTATTTAAAATTACTGTTTTAACATTTATATACCAAATACTCTATAAGTCTTGGTTCTGTTGTAAGCACTTTACCAAAACTACTTCTTATGCTTGTAAGGCCTATTGTGTAGGTCATCCTCAGTTCTTAGATGTGGAAACCAAGGTAGAAGGCTAAGTAGCTCACCCAAGAGCTGCTGGGTATAACAGTTGGTGGTTTAACTGTGGCTTTTACTATTCGAGGTATTTCTGCAGACAGGAGTTACATATGGTCAAGAAATCTTCAAACATTGAGACTGCTGCAATACACTGCTTAAGAAGAAGAGAATTCAGTAGCAAATTGAGTAAAGCTTTCTGATATTCAGGCATAGGAAGCGCATTTTCCCTTGGAAAGGCTCATGCACCAGTAGTTCCTGTGGATGGTGGCTTTCTGTAGCTGTGTCCCTTGAATTCAACTTGCTGGCTCATCTTGGCCCGCTTGCGATTTATCACAGCCAATGAGGAGAGCCAGTGGCACTTGCAATATTCTGCCTGGGAAATCTTCTTACCTAGATTGTTAGGGCATTTCCAGTTTTCACCTTACCCCAGGTGACAGTGTTGCCAAACTATATCTTCCCTTTCCTCTAGCTTCTAGTAACATTTTAAAAACTTTTAGCCCTGACTGTCAGCCTTGTCAAAGCTCTTCCCCCTTCCCGGTCCCAATGACAAAGCTACCTATTAGATTTTTTTTTTTTTTTTTTAATGGTAAAACCCTACTTCCACAGTCCAGAATCTCAGTTATCTAATGCTGCAAAATTGAGTGGCTTAAAATGATAATAGTTGATTATTTTATTTCTCTGCACCAAGCATTGTCATCTTGCTGGGGTCACTCCACTTGACTGGGGTCTTTCCACCTTCAAAATGTCTCACTCTGATGCCTGGCTAGTTGTGCAGGCAGTTGGCTAGGAGCTCAGCCTGGACTTTTGGGCGGTGACCTCAGTTCCTTTTTGTAGACTTAATGGCCTGGTGATAGTTGTGTGCCAAGAGTGAATGTCTCAAGAGTCAGTTGGGAGCTCTGATTAATCAGTTTCACCATAGTCAATTTCTAGGAGAGGGAACCCAGATACTGTCTCTTAACACTGGGGTATCCAGTCATGTTATTAAAGAAGAGCGTGAGGTCTTTGGAGATACTGTGCTCATTTTTGGAGAGTGTAATCTTCCACAAAACAAGACCTTTTGTCTCCATCTTTTCTACCTTAGTTAAGCAAATTCCAGTAATATAATTTTTCCACATTGTTAGATGATGTTTTCTTTTAAGTATACATGTGTATTTATATATGTCAATTTTATCTCATCTGTCTTGCCTTGAATACATTGTGGTTGTTCTTTTCATTAATACTGTACTTCAAAAGAACCTGCCATCTTTTAGGAAAATCAAATTCTTTAAAAAAAAAGATTCAAATATGATTCATACTCTGGTTTGCATTTGTAGATCAAATAGCTTAAGCATTTATTGAAAAATGACTGATAATTTATTTTCTTCCTAAAGGTAGCCCATGAATGGTGAAGAAAAATATTTCAAAACAAATAATAAGAAATGATTTGCTGTTGACATGGGTGTGTTTTGCAATGAGTTAGTTGACTGTTTTATACTCTTAGGACAAGCCTATTAAGTATTCATTTGTTTAGCTAGTATTTGTTGAGTATTGATTGTGTCAGGTGTTGGCAGCCAGAAATCGTCTTACCCTCATGGAATGTATAAGGAAGAAGATGGGCATTAGTGGGTAATCACCGAGTAAATGTGAAATCATAGCCATGTTCAGTACTCCAGAGAAACGGAACTCAGAAAGTATCTGAGAGGGAACCTGACCTCGTCTGCTCTAATGAAGTGGCCTGTTTAGCGGAGATCTGGATGGTGAGGAGGATATAGCCTCACCAAGAGACGCACAGCAGCCTCGCACAATCCTTAGGCGGACATCCATGGAGATCCATGCCGCTGGCTTACAGCCGTTCTTGAGGAGAGCAGTAGCTTCAGCTGTGATTCTGTTAGGAGACCATGTATTTAGGGCCTCTCGGAAAGCGCATGATCATACAGGCCTTACAGTGCAGAGGTCTGAGTTTTAAGGACCCTTTTTCATTTATATTTTTTAATAATGGTGATCCCTGTTAACAGGTACAATTCAAGTAAGTATGAAGTATGGCAGTAGTCCTCACGTGTGGCCTGGGGACTCCTGGAGTTAACCAGACCCTTTCAGGATATTGAGACCAAAATGATTTTCCTTGTAATACTGAGACATTATTTGTCTTTTCCACATTCCTTCTTTTATGAGAGTAAGTGAACTTCCTCAGAGACTGGGTGATGTGGTTTCATCCCAGCAGATTGGATATGAGAGCATACATGAGACTTCAGCTATTATCCTTTCATCCAGACCTTTAAAAACCTGCAAAAATGGGAAAAAATGCCATTCTTTTTGTTTATTTTTGAAAATATTGTTACTTTCATAACAATGTTATTTATGTTAACATGTAATAGGCTTATCTTTATTATTTGTAAATGAATTAATATGTATTTCAGAACTTTCTGTTTTAACTTCTTGCATGGTAATTAAAGTGTAAAGAGGTTTTGAGACCAAAAGTTTGAGAACTGCTGAAGTATGGCATTGTTCTTGACTTTAAGCATGTTACTTAATGTTGGAGATGCAAGCAGTCTGTAAAATGGGGTTGATGATCAAAGTACTTCCCTCGTAAAAGGATAAAAACAAGTTAGTGTATGTCAGGAGCCTGTAAGACTACGTGGCACAGAGTACACATTCAACATATGTTAATTTGTATCATTATTGCTATTTAATATGAAAGTAGAAATTTATGTGAATCCAAATGCTTCTGAGGCTCGGTAGCAAAGAATTTTGCTCTTGTTTGTGGTCATCTCTTTTGTTTTGGTGAAACACAGTATTCAAAGGTGAAAGAAATTGCAATGTGTAATTTTTTTTTTTTAGTTCATTTTTAACATAGGTTTTTATTGGCAGATGGTCAGGATGGCATGTTTGAAGACATGAAAATTCAGGATAGCTTGCTATACCTTTTCCACCTCCCTACCCGCCCTCCCAGTCCATTCCCTTCTCCCCACAGCAGAGTTCTGCTGTGTTTAGAATCATGGGGAACAGAGGGGCACACCTCATTTGGGAGAACTCCCTGGGGTTGGGGTCCATGCCCTGGACAGGGAGCTGATAGGAGGAACTTAGTTCCCTCACTTTTCAGGTGGAGTCACTGAGGCCCAGAAGAGGGATTTGCTCACACAGGTTCAACCCGCATATTAGAGGCCTACCTGGGACAAGAGCTGACATTCCGATTTGTAATGGTAAGAAAACCAGGCTGAGAATCAGAAGAACTGGTTTTAGTCTCAAACACTTCAGTTGGTTGTCTGATGTTGAGCAGTTGACTAAAATCACTGATCCTTAGTGTCCCTATTTGTCAAATGGAAGTGAAACTACCCACCATCCAGGGCTGTGAAAAGGATCAGTGAGATGCCATGTAATGGTACCCAGGATGCATCCTCCTAGCTCATCTCTCTGCTCCTTTGCATGTAAAGTCTGTAGAGAGACACTTCCCAGTGAAATAAAATACTCCTTTCAGAACCTTAAAGCCCTCCTTAAATGTTGTGTTTTGCAGCTTTGTAACATTTTCTTTTTTCTGTCTTTTTAGGACAGCCCAGAAACTTGCAGGACCTGTGCCGAATTAAAATTCGACAGTGTATAGGCCTTCAAAACCTAAAACTACTTGATGAACTACCAATTGCCAAGGTCATGAAAGACTACTTAAAACACAAATTTGATGATATCTGATACACAGAGAACTGTGAGCAAGATTAGGAGTTATATTCCAGATACTTAAAAGGCTTTTTGCCTTGCACAAAGTATATCCTATGCAATTTCTGATTTGCTGTGAAGTCAGAAAGCAGGTATACACTTACAGGTTTTTTTGTTTGTTTGGTTGGTTTTCATTGTAGGGGAGAGGTTTTTATACACACACACACACACACACACACACCCCACATGCTTGAAGGTCTTAATTTGGTTTCTTGGTCCAAGTTTAAGAGGTCCAAGCTTTCTATACAATATTGCATTTAAAACAATTGTTTTTCCAAAATGACACAAGCAAGTTTGGAGTGGAGAATTGACCCTTTCCAAATTTATGGTTTCATTGGCGTGCACAATATTATAAACCAGCAGAGCACTTGTTACAGTTTGGAGGCACAATTTCAGCCAGGGCATCCAGGGTCCTACTGGAAAATGCCCTAAGAAATTTTTTAAGTAATGCCGTCACCTCATTCATTTTAATGAGTAAAAATTGGCTGTTTCAAACTGTTCGTTTCCTAATTAATGTAGCTTTGGATGACTTACACCCAGCCCCCTGCTTTCCGTTGGTGTGCTCGTTCTAACTCACTTTTAACAGCTGTAGTACACTACCCAGAGATGTTGAGTCTCAACCTCTGTCTCTAGTTGAATCGTGCTTTTAAAACAATTAACGGGAAAGAAAAAACTTTATAAAGCCCGTGTATTCTGTTTTTAAAATAGTGCCTCCAGTGCAAACTCTTTCTGGTGTATTTTATCCATTATTTCACTTGATGTTCCTCATTCCACAGCTGGCTTTGACATGCCTATAAGAACAGGAACTGCCACTTTAATTTTAATTGCAGAACATAGTGTCAGTTGCAATTTCCATTTTAAGCTTTGTCTTTTACTTCAGTTTAAGCAGAAAATTTCATGTCCTGGTGGTAGAGTATTCCCTAAAAATAGCCAAAATACTGTTAAATCATTTGGCTTTAATGGATAAATAATTTGGGATGGTTTCATGGTGTTTATTTCTTCCCAGCTGAAATAAAATGTCTAAAGGGTAAAATTTCTAATGGGTGCACATTTGTAAGTCTGGTTAATTTCTAATATGCTAATTAAGCATTTCGTATCTATTTTAAAGTTATACACAGTGACGCTCTTCAGAACAGTTATTTTCTGGATTGATCGGCATATGTTTGCAGTGTAAACATGAATATGATAAAGTGTGAATAACAGTGGTTCCAGAGGTATTAGGAATCTATGGAGATGCCCTTCGAAATGAGCCCTGTGCTTGATGTGTCATCATATTAGTTCCAGAAGCTTTAAAACTATCCCAGTATTGTTCTTAGTGCTTTGGGAAATTTCAGAATATTTACACACTAGTAATAAATTTATTATCAGAAGTTTACAAAAGAAAGGGCTTCTCTTGTCTCAATTTCTAGTTTTAAGTCATTAAGTATAAAGTTATTTCACCTGAAAAGTAAAACTAAGTAGAATTAGGAGTCTCCTCTGGTTTTATCCTTTATCAGAGCCAACAGTGATATTTCCTCAAGCACAAAATTTATTCTCCTGGATGTGAAGTAGCTCTGGCATCAAATACCTGCTCTGCTGGGCCTGGGCTGGGAGCAGGTTTCTGAACAGTGGGCAGCTTCGGGAAGAGAGTGATGTGAGGGATCAAGGATGGGGTACGTAGCCTCTTCCGCAGGGAACCACTCAATGTGTGGCCAGTTTTGCAACCATCCAAAAACTGTAACTGAGGTGTGATAGAAATGGGTGTTCCGATTTTTTTTTTCCATAAAAATATCTCCAAAAAGTTATCTTCTGAGAGAGAGTCCTTGTGAAGCTAGGAGCTGAGCTGTGTTCTCCTTCTGGAAACCAATAACCAGGTCAGAGCTAAGGCACACTTGACATCAGGGACCTGGCTTGGCTGGAAATGAATGGTGTTGCTTCTCCCTGAACCCAGGCCAGGGAGACAAGGACGTGGGAAGGCAGGCAGAACCCTGCCTTTGAGCAGTGATGTTACTGTTACGTTCGCACAGGGCTCATCTCCTCATGTGTCTATTAATTTATTCAGTTAGTTTAAAATGATTTTCTTTCCCCAGCCATTCGGAGGTCTCCAAAACTAAGTTCACCACTGAGAGTCAGGAAATTCCAAGTAAAAAAGATCAGATTAAGGTAAATTCTTTGCTCTGTATTGCTCCTTAGACTTAAGAGAAAAAAAAAAATTATGAGGCCTCTTCCTGGAATCAGAGTTTCTATTTAATGAAGAAGTGTATAATTCAATTATTTGTTTGAAGTTTGATTTTTCTGGAAGCTTGAAAAGAGTGTTTTATTTTTGTTGTTACTAGAATCCCAATCACATATCATCTTTAACAGTAACTAAAATGTCTCAAAGTTGGTAACTGGTGGAATACAGGGATGAATGTGCAGGTCTGCTCTCCACTTTGATTGGCAGAGAAGCACTCTGTAGTAACATAATGAGAACAAATGTTTTCAGAAAATCAACTGGTTTTTCCAGAATCTTGACTGAAATGTTCAGAATAGTATCAAATTTGTCATTGATCCTTCTGTGTTTCTTTTGAAATTTATTATTTAAGCCTGTTACTAAACCTTTATAAAAATATATTTGGCAAGTACACCAAAGACACCAGCTCATAAAATATTATGATTATTAATGAACTGCAAACCTCATCTTTTGCAAACGGAAGATTTTTTTTGTGTGTGTAAATATTTGTGTTTATAAATGTACAGCAGAGTAAGGGTGTTTTTTAGATTATTTAATTTCCATATTTCTAAACTATTTACTACAGAATAATCCACGCTTGTTAGTTTGGAAGACTTGACAATTTTGTTTTTTTAATTCATTATCAGTCATGCTTGGAGCAGCATTTCCGCTAGAGAATTCAGTGTTCTGGCAGTAGCAAGAGTACACATCTGGAGCATGAGGGAGTCTAGCTTGGTTTGTCAGATACACACCCTACGAGATGAGAATGTGTAGTTTAATTACCACAATGGACCATACAAAAACTGAGGTTCTAACTTTGCTGCAGAATTGCACATCAGCCCAGAGTGTCATTGGGATGAGGCCCTTGGCCCACAAATTTAGCTCTCATGTAACTCCTAGTGTGTTATATCATAATGTATTTTGTTCTTCCTTTGTAATGTAAGTTTTGCTTTGGGTCAGTTTGAATTAAAAAAAAAATCACTTAAATCTGGTTTAAAACATAGTGGAACTGTGTTTTATTTCTAGTCTGCTTTAACTTTTTAATACTTCCAGCTATTTGGTCAAAAGAAAGAAAGTGAACTCTGTCTTTTATTCCTCAGCATTTTAGATAATTAAGAATTGGGTAAGAATGTAATACAGGAAATAGCACTGTTTTAGATCATTTAAGAACCCCCACCCCCACCCCCGCCCTGCTTTTTAACGCATTCTTCAAATACCCTCCAACAAAAGACTATCTATCCACTTCTTCTGCCTGTTGATCCGCCACTGAGCCTTTTGGGGCCATATTCACCTTTGCCTCATTCTGACTGAGAACAGAGTTTGGACCACAGCATCTCTAAGCACAGAACAGTATATTCAGTTAAATAATGAATTTGAGGTAGTTTATTAGCTTGCAAGAGATATAACAAAACAGCTTTGATTTCATACTTCCTCTGTATCCCATAAGCACAGCTTGATTTAGGAGAGGCCTCAGACTAATGAGTGATGGTGTGCTAAGAAGGGAGGGCAGACGACTTAGCACCTCGTGCAGAAACACAGTGTTTTGCAGCCATAACCTTGTTACAGACTTGTCCAGGATTTGGCACAAATGGAAGCCAAGAATGGGACATTTGAAACTATTCCTAATGATCAGCAGGGGAGTTCAGATGTGAAAAATAGCTGTGTTGCTTGGAAATCTTGAGGTCATTCCTTTTCCAATATGATGTAAGTAGTGGTATTGTTTTTTCAGCTGAAAGACAATTTACAGAAAATGGCTTACTAGCTATTGATAAAACAGATTATCTAGTTGATAAAAAAAAAAAATCTCCACATCCCATGTAGTTGGCTTTCAAAGATAAAAGAAAGTGGACTTGTATCATTTTGTGTTTATGTAACATTGTGGCTTTGTGTTCTCATAACACATCTTACAAATTTTGATGTCAGAATTTATATTAGCTTCAATGCCAGTAAAGATTTTAAATATCCACTGCCAGATACTGTTATTTAGGTTGATGTAGACTCCTAAGATACAAAGACAGTTTGGCTTTATTTTATCATTATTTTGTCGTTACTAGTAAGGTTTATAGTAAGATCTCTTAATTCTTAGATAAAAACAAAAAGGTCAACCAGCATATGGCTCTGCTGATAAACAGTGATCAAAGTCTTATATTTCTCTAAGATCATGGTACATTTTGTAGATATTTATCTTCCAGAAAAACTGATTTTTGAGTGACAGTTAACAATGCTCAATCCCATCTGAAAAGACTGAAGTCCTATGGGAGACCATTGTGTGAATAAAACCCAAAAGTGGCAGTGTTGTTGCAGTGCGTGAGCTCCTCTTGTGAAGTGTCTTCTACCAAGTGTTGCTGTTTCCATTTCTTACTCACCTGTGCCCTGAGTGTCTCCTGCTGGGTTTCAGTTCTGCACCCGCAGGCTCAGTGCTTTATCAATTCTGAAGACCCATAAACCATTAGAAGTAAAGGATCAGATTAAAGCAAAATATTTCTCCTCTGTTGCAGATACGGTCTCAAAAAAAAATCATGTAATCATGTGTAGTTATTATAATATATTTTATATTTAATCTTGGTTTGTTCCAGCATCTTAAAAATCACACTCGGAACCTTTTTTTAATGTTTCCTTTAATTAGGAAATTGTTTTAAATGCATAAAAGTGTAATTTATGTTACATTAGGTAGTCGTTAAGTGACTCACTTACTGTGGAATAGTATTTTATGAATCAGAAGTGAGATGGCTGCATTTGGACAAGGGGGTCAGTTGAAGCTGAGAAGCTCAGTTATGTGGTGAGTAGACTGACGCTTTGTGACCGGCACAGGGAATCCAGCTGCAGATACTTCCTATTTTATCTGGCAAACAGACTCAGATTTTTCTTGCTCCTCAGTCTTGAACTAATGTTGCTTTTCTTCCTCTGATAGTTTTGGGTCAGGTCACCACTTAATTTTCTTTTTCTTTACTGAAAAAAAGAGAATACTTGTAGGGGTAGACTTACTGTACATGACCATTTTGTATTTCTGTAGAGGTTTTCTAAATTTTCCCCCTCTTGCTTCTGTCCCCTTAACCCTTTAGTGAAGTATACACATGTGCACAAGTCATGGCCTCACCCACCTGCTTTTTTTTTAAGTTTTTTTTAGTTCCCTCCTTACATGGATGGAAATGCAGCTTAATATCATTAGGAAATATAGTGCAATATCATTCAAGAAGACGAATAAGACTGGGCTACATCCATTTTCCATCTTGGGTAGCACCAGAGAGAACAAATTGCATTTCTTCCTAGTTTATTACCGATGTTCTTTTTTATATTTTTTAAAAAATTTCTTTACTACCGATGTTCTAAAAAAGTCATTTTCTTTAAGTCCATTGCACAGTGACCTCCTTAAGGACAGATCCTGGGCCTCATTTGCCTGGATCTCACACAGTATTTGCTGAAAGAGCCATAGGAACATGTGGCAGTTGGTTGTCAGCCTGTTACTTTATTTCCTCAGGCCTCCAAGGAGCCCAGGGTCGTGTGGACGGCAGCATCAGCATTTCTCAGCTCCAGATCTCAGGCACCTCCTGCCAAGACTGTGTTTTGCTGTTCCTTCCTCTCCTGCGCCCCCACCCTTCAGCCCTCCCATCCCCTCAGTGACATGGTCCCTGAGCAGCGGACCCCCGTGATTGTGACATGTGGGCACTGGGGTGGCAGACTCCCAAACAAGCCCCGGGACTCTGGTCGTGGGGCATCCTGCCTGCCGGGAGTCCCCCTCCCAGGGCCCCCACAGTGTGCTGAGCCTCTGAAGGCTCCCCTGCCTCCCCTTGCAAGTCCAGTGCACTGAGGTGTCTTCACGGGTCACAGCTGCACCCCCTCGCGTCTCCGGGCGGCTCGGTGGGGACTGAGGTGCAGCGCCCGGCCGGCCACCCCCAGTGTGCCCTCGCCCTCTCCCATGTGCCGTGGACGCCCTCCCTGTCTGGGGAGCAGAGGAGCCCTGCTGGCTACGGCGTCTCACCGCTGCTCCTTTCTGCTGTGCCCGCCTGGTTCCCTCGCATAGTGGGCACTTGGTCATTATTCTTCACGTGAGTTAATCCAGTCCAAACCCTTTCTTTTACAGGCAGAGGAGCCCTTCTCTTACGAGTGGAGGACTGAGGTGGCTGGGAGCTGTGGCCCTGCCCCAGTGACCGCCGGTGAAGGCTCGGCCCCAGCTCCCCAGCCCCGGGGTCCTCACGATCCTGGCCTGCCAGCAGCTTAGCCCTCACTCATGTCAGGTGTGCTTTCTGTGGAACAGAACTTGGCTACTTGTTAACAGCAGTGATGGAATGAGATACGTTTTGGCAAAAGTTGGCTGGGCTCAGGACTTTGTCCCTTCTGGATTTAAAGCCCATGCATCCACAAGACTAATTTCCTACAAAACACTTGCTGAGAGTTCCATCTTGGTTTCACTGTGCTTTTTGAATAATCTTGACTGTAAGAAATTAGGTTTGGGGGGCAACCTTAGGAACAGCATTGCCAGCCTCTGGTTTTGTTTCATTGTGTGTTTACAGGGCAAGTTGAGTAACTGCATGTATGAGGCTGCACAGAGATGCCAGTGGTGTTTATACTCAGCTTTTTTGTTTGTTTCAGTTTTCATTACAGGCAGCTAAGAGATTGATCCACCACCATCTTTTCATCATATATTATGATCCCTCACATTCACAGTGTATTTTTCCATTTGAGAGTTATAGGAGTAGAGAGAGGAACTTGGGTGTTTTGACTTAGAATTAAGGTTGAACTGACATAAATATCCTTGTGTTACATAGCACTTGTGTACACTTCAAAATTGGTGTTTCTTACCTAGAGGCCTCAGTTGAAATTCCTGTAAGAAGCTGATTGATAAGTTTATCGTCAGAGAATGATCTCCTGCAAATAGAAAATTCATTTAGATATGGTGAGCTAAGTGGAGCTGCCGACTTGGAGGACATCATTTGTCAGTTTACCCTGATTTATCGGTCTTTGAGGCTGAGGTCATTGATTCAATATACTGTTCATAGAACATTTTGAGGTCTCACGGTTAAAATTACAGTGGATACATCAGTATCAAGGTAGTCATTTCTCTTTCAGCTTCCTGCTGAACCCAGTGATAGTCTCCACATATCCCCACCCCGGCAGGTATTTCTCGAGCATGAGGTATAGGGGGTTAGGGCCTCCTAGTTCATCCTAGTTCATCAGCTCCTAGTAATGTCAGTGATGGAGAGATTCGAGTCCCTTGCCTCTGGCCTCTCCATGTGGGGAGAGCAGGCCCCTTGGGAGCAGTGGACCAGGGCCATGGCCACAGTCTGATGACAGACAAGGTGCCCCAGGAGCCTGGCTCTGAGCCAGGCAGAGCTGGTAGCCATCGCATCCTTGCCTTGGGCCCTTTAAAAACGTGGGACACTGCCTTGCCCAAGCCTGCCCAGCTTTGCTGTATACCAACCCAGCGTGACCTCAGAAGCAGCAACTCTGCTGGAGCCTGTTCAGAATGCTTGTCTTTTGTCCTGATTCCTAAGTCCGTCCTTAGGTATATCTGCTCCATAAGATGTAAACGACAGGTGTGTGATGCCATCTAGCCCAGAGGGATGTGTGTCTGTGTGTGTGTGGCTTAGAAAGAATGCCTGAGATGGCAGTATGAGGTTCTGATGAAAGAAATGTGTTAGGAAGGAGAGTATGGTTCTCTCCTCCCTAGGGAGGGGAATAGGCCTGTGGCCCCTCTGCAGAGAGGTCAGCTGTAGTTGTGTAGTTGTGAGCAGGGCTTCTGTGTTGAGGGCCGCCTGTGGACTTACAGTAACTTGGGCTGGTCATGTCTGGAGGGGATGGGAGCTGAGGGGCTGATGGAGGGGGCTGGTACCAGCTGTGATGTGGGAGCTTGTAGTCCTGTGGTTGGTGGGAGCACAGGAGGGGTCCCACCCTGCTGGGCACTCAGCCTGTCCCAGGCTGGTGTCCCTTGGGCGCTTCTCCAAGACATTCCTGTCCCAGCCGTGAGGATGCCCTTCCCTCCCAGTCCTTGTTGAAGGGGT